TTGCATATTTATCTCTCACACATGTATACCGTTCTTTTCTATATAAAAAAGTGGTAGCTATCGTTTTTGCATAAATTTGCATAAAGTTCATTTTTATCATTTATATACACTATAAATTTTATTGTTACTGTCATTTTTTTTATCGTGAGCATCGAAAAACACGTTGTTCGTTAACATATATATATATATATATATATATACCAGGGTCCCTCTGAAACTTTTGAGACAGTGGCAGACGACAAACGCAGGAAAAAAAATATTTGTTAAATTTGTAAATTTGAACTCTTTTATGGCCGCATACGATAATTTGTGGTAAAATTTGCTATTTAGCTGTTGTAGAATAGATTTTGAAGAAAGGAATATGAAATTGACGCGAGAGCATTATCGCGCTATGATTTTCTATGATTTTAAAGTTGGGGTTAAATCAAGAAGAACGCCTTAAACGTCTACAACTAGCATATGGAGACGAAGTTCCATCTCGTGCTATTGTATTTAGATGGTTTACAGAATTTCGTAGAGGTTGAAGTTCACTGCTGGATCAAGAACACACAGGATGACCTTCTTCAGCTGTAGTTCCAGAAAATGTGTCGCCCATACGAAAAATGTTAGTCGATGATAATCGCTGCACATACCAGACAGAAGAAACTTAACATTGGATCCGCAGCTATACATAGAATTATTCATAAAGAACTGTATATGGAAAAACTAGTTTGTCGTTGGGTCCCCCATAATTTAACAGAACACCAAAAAACGGAGCGTGTCAGAATCTGCAAAGAAACCATAAAAATACTTAACGATGGTGGACACCGTCTTATTTCTAAAGTAATAACTGGTGATGAAACGTACATACCGTTTTTTGACGTTCCAACACGCTAAGAAAGTAAAGTATGGGTCTTTGAAGATCACCCCAAACCAACAATGGTGAAAAGACAACGAGCAATGAAAAAAGTAATGTATGCCGTTTTCTTTAGAAGTACGGGACTGGTCAAAACCATCAAGCTGGAGGGACAGAAGACAGTCACAGCTAACTGGTACACCACTAAGTGTCTTCCAGAAATTCTTCAAGAAGTGAATGTAAGGGGACTCATGCGTCATCATGATAATGCATTTTCTCATACGACAAAACCGACAGTCGAATTTCTTAAACAAAAACACATCAAAATCATAGAACATCCACCCTATTCCCCTGATCTTGATATGAGGGACTTTTGGCATTTTTTTAATCTCAAAAAAAAATTTACTTGATCCCCGTTTTCATTCCGAAGATGAGATTGATGAGGCTATAAAAGCATATTTTTCATCAATTCCAAGAAATGGAGGGCGTGAAGCATTTAATCTTTGGAAAAATCGTCTGCAAAAGTGCATTGATGTTGGAATGAACTGCTTTGAACACTGGAAACATTTTGAAATTTGGTAAGTTAAACTTTTACCATTTAGCCGTATCTCAAAAATTTCAGAGTGACCCTCGTATTTATGTGTATATATATTTATATATGTTATAATAAGTTTCGTCACTACGACTAATATACACTTTGAAATTAATATTTTTATATCTCTCTATTATAAGACATTCTACAGGATGCATAAAATATACAGAAAATGTTAATTTATGAGTTTGTTAACAAATTGCTTGTACTTAATTTAATTTGTTGATTCTTACTTTTTAACATCTTTAATAAATTTTATGATTTTCCTTGATATGAGTTTGATCATATTGGCACTTACATTATATTTGACACAGATCTCAGAAACGTTCTTTCTGAGGTTACCAAATGAAGATCAGTTTTCAAGCTTAATACGAAAATCTGTTATAAATTTTATTAATCAGCACCTATGGTCTGCATTAAAAGATCGTATATATTAAAAGATTGTTTTAATTGAATGAAAATGAAATAACTGCAAAAATATTGCCCTACACCATCTTTATTTTTCAAGTCTTGTACGTTATTATGAACTGTGCAAAGCAAATGTATTAGTGCATCGATTGATGAGTTTCAATACACTTATTGAAATAGTTTCAATACTCATTTAGTGAGTCCTTGCAAAGCCGAATTGTGACAAATACATTTTAAACGATATGGTTGGATAATACAAATTACTATCCCACAATGCATTAATACTATATGTCGCTTCATTGAGGAATATTAATTGCTATTTAGAAGTATTAATTTTCTAAGCTATTTTTTTTTTATATAACATATTTCATTTAATTGAAAAAGAAATAAGTAGAAGAAGTCTGTGGTTTAAGGCATTATTTCAAACAAAAAAATTTCTACCATCAATTTCTGCCACTGAATTTCTTCAAAAACATTTTGCAAGCGGTGCTTCTGAACCAGCTCAACAAAGACTTTTACTTAGAAACATTTTAAAGTAACTGTAACTGATTTCAGTGAAAAGTTTTATTTTTATTACTTTTCCGAATTAGCCACTGTATGAAGCTTTCTGATACAGCCAATGATACAAAAGTTCACAAAATTCTAATAGCTTATAATCTTCTTATCTGGGTTATCCCCACTTATATGGATAAGCGAGGCGAAATATGAACACAAATATTCGAAGCCTTTGTACAGACTACAATACCTGAATTATGTTTAATAGAAGATTGTTTTAGACTAACAGTATTTTCTCTATTGATACATATAAATTTGTGGGTCTTTTTGCAAGATACCAATTAGAAATCTACAAGATTAAACACATTTTACTATTATTATCATAATATTTGTTAAGTTTTATTTCTACTACTGGTCAAAAACTGCGTAATGTTTGCATTTTTAATAATTACATTTACATCCAAGTTCCGTATCCGTTTTGTTCCGTTTGTAAAAAACGGACAAAATCAAAAAAATCCACTAACCTTTACTTTCAATAATTTGTGTAATACACAAACAACCTTTTATTAAGTAGATAATATTATTGTTTTTATGCATCAAAATTTTTATGTAAACTCTCACAACATTTATCTGTTATAACAGATACTAATGAAGATAACATCTTGTGCAGAGATTCTTGATATGCATATTATTGCGTTATTTCGCATAAAATTAGTTTTTTCATATTATCTTTCCTTCTATAAAAATATCGATCGGTTTTTTATTAAATAACTGTGTCATATATTATTTTATTCCTTATTTTGTGTTTTGCCTAATTGTATATTTTGTTTTCATATAGTTTTTCCAATTTTTAAGAAAATCTTAAGCAAAATCTTAAATAAAATCCACAAATTATGAATAATGTTTCTGTATAAATATAAATTTCGACATTTTGTTATCAAAGAAACTCAAAACATTATTGCTGCATTTGGAAATGCTACAGCTAATTCATCCACAAGGAAACGATGAGTTGAGAGGATGATTGAGAGAAGTTCAGATAAGGAGATATGGGCTTAGAAAGGGACGTCTTGAAAGACCTGAAATTGTCATTTGTAATGATGGTAAAAGTTGGAGCTTACCTTACAATTAGGGATTGCAATACCGGTATTTTGAGCCATTTGTACAATTTTGTAATACCGGTATTCACAAGTTTAAATACCGTTTTTTCGGTATTTACTAGAAATTTAGAATTCTTTTATGGGGAAGAATTCTTATCTGTGAAATTCTTATCTATGAATTCTTATCTAAAAACTAGAAATTCTTATCTGTGAAAACAAGTTTGTAGTTGTGAAGTAAGTGTGCAATATTTCGATATGTTTTAAATTGGTGAGTTTGTTATTCACGTTGTATTTGCATATCATACTTTAGAGTTCAAAATATTTTTCAGATTTATTATATATATATACTCATAAATAATACCCTATATTAATGAATAAGAATAACTTTAAAGAACATAAAAAAATAAATTGATAATACTTTGGTGAGAGTGAGAGTGACAATGAAGATAATCACAATGTAATTGTTGAAGAAGATATTGCTAATGAGGATGAAATATTAACCCATCAAGAATTGCTTCCTATAATTTATAAAGTTTGAAAAATTGTTACGACATTTAAATGTTCCCTTACAAAAAATGCCATTTTACAAAAATATATACTAATTGAAAATAAAACAGAATATATGTTAATACTAGATTCTAAAACACGGTGGAATAGTTTACTTCTAATGATGGAACTTTTTTTTGAAACTGAAAAATCCAATCCAAAAAGCAATGATCGACTTAAACCTGCAAATTAATTTTTCCGATAGCGAATTCAACCTTATATCCAGAAATGTATCACCTCTATTTCCAATAAAATTGGCTGTTGAGGCATTATGTTGGATAGACTCTAATTTATTAGCAGCTAATACAACAATAAATTTAATGTTGCAGTCACTGAAAGAACAGCACACATCACTATCTGAAGAATTATATATTACATTGATAAATTGCACAGAAGAAAGGCATACCGAAATAGAAAATGTCTTACGGTATTTACATAATTATAATGATTTTAAAAATAAGAACGAAAAAGAAGAAAAGAGACTAACTAATTCAAATTTGATCAAGTTTATAGTAAACTTTCTTAAAATTTTTTACTCACAAGCCTATCCACGTTCAGAAGAATTCGGTATAGTTATCGGAGACTATGATGACACGAATGTCGATAGTGAAAAGGAATTGTCACTTGAATAAAAATTAGAATTGGCGATAACTAAAAAAATTTCAACAAACCAAAATACAATACAGAAATCAGCTGTATCCAAAACAATCCGACGAGAAATAGATTCATTTGAAGATGAGGTATTTAGAGGTAAATACTTGGAAAAAGTGTATCGCGCATTGCTAACAGTACCACCAACTAGTGTAGATGCTGAAAGAGCGTTTTCGACAGTTGGTAATTTTTGCATAAAATTACGTTCCAGGCTTAATGATAATACAATTGATGCATTATGTTTTTTAAGATCACAATTCAAAAATTTGTAATAGTACCACAGACTGAATAGTGATATTTACACTATTTTGTGATTTAAATAAATTAGATGTTCCTTTACTTTTTTGCGATTCTTTATATACTGTCATAATTGCCAATGGCCATACCATGCTGGATATACCGATTCTCTTTAGATCACCGAAGTCAAGCATCATTGGGCGCGGTTAGTACTTGGGTGGGTGACCACCTGGGAACACCGCGTGCCGTTGGCATTCACAAATTTGGGATCTGAATGGCCGTGTGTCTAGCGCTCTGGCGCTCGGTTCCACAGGTTTCGGGTTCAAATCCCGGCGGTGTCATGGAAGTTTGTAGTGGTTCGGAATCCACTTTAAGCCATAGGTCCCGGTCTCCTATGATTGTAAGAGCGTCACGGAGCCAAAGTCAGACTTCTACCTACAGGTGCTCCATCACAACAGAAGCTGCTTCCTTCCCCTTCAATCATGAGTTCGTATGGGCTCGTGGGCACCAGCCAAGTTTGATAAGAAACAACAACAACATAATTTATAAGTTACAAATTTTTTTGCGATGTTTACATTCTCTAATAAAATCTGGCAAATGAAATAAAAAAACACCTGTGTTTTCTTTTTCTAAAATATCTACTGCCGGTATTAAAACCGGTATCCCGGTATTAAGATCTAAAAAATACCGAATACCGGTATTGAACTTCTGGTCCGATATTACAATCCCTACTTACAATAGTGTTCGATAAATTGCTGTTGGTATTGCTGTAGATTTAGCAACAGTTTTTAACACATCAAAACAATCCGCCACACTAGAAAATTTTATATAAAATTTCTCTTATCTTTCTAGTCGAGTGAACTGTACTAGCAATCAGATACCCAAAGGGTTAGGATGTAATCAGTTAATTCAAATATTTTCTTAATACATTTATTCGCACGTTACAATGGCGATATAACACACAAAAATTATAGATATACAGACACAAAAAACCCACGTCTACCACGGATTACTACCAACAAGAAAGTTCTAAATTCCAGGGAGAAAAAGTCTTACACCGAAGTACGGTTATAGTTAAGTGGAGTGGTAAAGAGTTCACGTGGTAAATAATTCAAAAAGTTCTAGAAAGGCAGCATTTCTGACAACAGTTTCGAGGTATTTTGCAGGGCTTGTAAAGGTAAAAACTTGAGAAATTGATTTCACACTTGTTGACAGATATGAAGGAATCGCAACGCTTACAGATTTGCACATTATTCAGAATTCGGAAAAAAAAACTGTTCTTCTTTGGATCATGTCAAAAAAATAATAAGAATTAAGAAAAAAGAAAATGAGCACAAAAAAAGGTAAACGAACAAGGTGTGAATTAAAAACAGATCAAGTAAGAGCAACTATCAATATTCGTTACATGCAAACCATCATAGTATCCGCAATGCAAAAACTTTGGGATGTTTACAAGTTCATGCTTATAAACATCCTTACTCTTCAACAGTCACGTAAGCAACAGCTCCTCTCGTGAATTTATATTTGACATTTCAAATCATTTTACATTTTTTGATTGTATCTTTATTTTGTACGGCTTATATAAGGCGTCAATATTTCTGCTATTTTGGTTACTAAAATTACAAATATTTAGGAGAGTTTTTCCTCTTCTGACTTCCGCTACAGCAGCCATGATAGAAGCATCTTCTAAAATCAAGGTCTAAAATCCAACTGACTTTCGTGACTGGCTTATAGAACTCCACCCCCTCATGACGTCAGAATACATACCATAGAGCTATAATATAAGTATGAAAATACATCGCAATATCATCATTAATAAAATGCTCAGAATTTTTCTATCTGTAATTATAATACTTTTAAATAACAACAATGGAAGAATATTCTTTTTAAAAATAGCTTCAATGTAATATATAATCCCACATAATTCCATTTGCCAGTATTTGTCTAATCTCCAAATTCATTATTGCTAATATTTTCTCCATTGTTTGAGACTTCTATAAATTCTGCACACTGTGGGAGTTCTTTGTCTTCCAGGAAACTTCACATTTCTTCACCAATTTCTGCAAGATCATGTCACTTTCCGTTGTCAATAATTAACGAAAATTCCATATCTTTTTATTCATTGCTTGAGATTTCCGTAAATTATTCGCAGTGTGAAAGCTGTTTTCCAAGAAATAGTAATTTTCGTCACCAATTTCTACAAGGCCATTTCACTTTACTACGCTACTAGTTAACGGAACTCCCATTGTGGAATATAAATATTCCAACCAGATAATATACAGATGGGTATACAGATGGGTATACAATGGAAAATATAGTAATACTACCTAATTAAACATATCTGTGATAATTTTGCTAAACCAATCACTCGCTTTACAATCATGTTATTAATAACAGTTGCAAGATTATCACATGACTCATTTTTTGTCTCGGAAAAAAGTTACATAGCACTGCTATCTGGTTCTTTTTCATATTCGTGATAGTCCTTTTAACCACAAGGCACATTATATTTCCTGTTCTAAAGTAGCTTAATACCTCGGAGTCTTAGTTGACTTTAAGTTTAGGGCTTTCACATTAAAAACAAATTTAACAACTGTGTTGAGGCCCTCTTTGTACTTATTAAACAGAATTACGTTCTTTCTTTTAATATATAATAACAAACAGTTATTATGCATGTACATATTGTATATGTACATTGCGGACCATAACTATTCCAACCAGATAATATACAAATGGGTACACACTGAACAATAATCGTACCTAATTAAACGTATTTGGGACCATTTTGGTAAACCTATAACTCTGCTTTGAACTCTCCCTAAATATTTACAATATTCAAAATTCTGTAATTAGAAATGTTTATGATTTTTCGGGCCCTTTTAATTTAAAATTGAATCAGGTAGTATTGCATATCACCTAGTTATTCTTTAAATTTTCTTATTTATTGAGAGTTTAAATTGAGACCGTGTGAAGGCAAAGGGATGGATTCTGTTTTATCTGATTTAATCTTTGCCTTGCAAAGGTTAAATGTTACACCATTACAAACGATGGAGGAAGTCTTTTTAAACCATATTATTAAAATATTTGCTTTTACTGACGATTTTCTAGGAATGAAGGAATTCTTGAATGATTATTTAAGAAGTTAACAAAGAAGAAAAGTTTGAGTTTGTCGTAACTAGGGAGAAAAAAACCAGAATATATGTTTCGGATAATAAAAGGAACCAAAAAGAAAAGAGTTCTTATTGTAAATGATAACTTTAAATTTGAATGGGATTACGGAGGAAAATGAAATAACCCCAGAATAAAAACTAAAATTGCCGTAGAGTTTCTTTTCCCTAATGGAATTACTTAAAACGTCAATTAATTCCAAGGAAAATTAAATTAAAATTCATAATACATTTAAGAAGGCAACTGTAAGGCTTTGTTCGGAGACATGACCCTAACGCAAAGAGAAGAATAAATGTTTATTAGTTGTAAGATCGAGAGACAGAGAGATCGAGTCCCTGCGACACCATAGGGGTTTGTAGTGGTTCGGAATCCATTTTAAACAGTAGATCACTTTCTAATGCGACTGTAAAGCATTGGACATAGAGCTGACAACCCTACCCCGTAAAAAGAAATCATCTCCAATGTCGTAATCTGCCAGTCGATAGACGGCCGTGGCCCACCATAGGGTTGTTGCGCCAATGAAGAAGAATTATTTGAAGGTTATAAAAGATGTAATTGCAGAACACTATCGTTAAAAATATTCCTGTCAATACCTAAATATATTTAAATCTATATGCAAAGTGAGCACAAAGTCTTGCCCTAATTATAAAAATATATTGTTCATAAAATATTATAATTAGACACATGTTTTCTCGGATACATGGTAAGTAAGGTTATAAAGTTTTTAATAGGTTACAACGACTAAAACTTGATAGCTCGGAGAATGTCAAACGGTTCTCGCCAAGTATTTCTTAGCATGTCGTTTGTAACTGCGCACACAGTATTTTTTTCCTAACTTTTAGTTCTTCAACGTCAGTAAATAGTTGAGGCAAAGAGACTCTATCCTTGATATAGCCTGAAAAGTAGAAATCAATAGATCATGGTGTTGGTCCATGAGCTCATGGTAAATCAAAAGATTGTGGCCCATCTCATACAATCCACCGGCTCCGGAAATTTTTTGTTTAGGAACTCACTGACTAAGAGGAACTCCATCATGAAGATAAATAATCCATGGTTGAAATTATTATAACTAAAGTGTAACGAGCAGTTAAGTCTAATTAAGCGTTAACATGTCGTTTGTAACTGCCCACATTGCATTTTTTTATCCTCGCTTTCAGTTCTTCAACGTCAGCAACTATTTGCAAAAAATCAAGAGGAGGCCATGGTGTTGGTCCATCTTATCCAATCCACTCGCCCGGAAATTTCTAGCTTAGAAACTCGCGGATTAAGGAACCCCACTGAAGAGGAACTCCATCTTGAAGATAAATTATCCATGGTTGAAATTATTATAACTGAAGTGCAACGACCAGTTACAGTAAGTCTAAGTAAACGTTAGAAGTGTTTTTTCTCATAAAATAAAAAGCCTAATAACTTGTTATGCACGAGACCACGAGACTGCATCAAACGTTAACTTTAGAACTGCCTCTCACTACCTATGTCGAAACATATGGATTCTGTGATTCTCCGACATGGTCATTATGTTTATTTTTCCACTGACATAAAAGGTTGATTCATAAGAAAAAAAACATGCTATTTAAGTAGCCGATTTCAACATCAATTATATTTAAATCTATTACACAGAGAAAATCAATAAAAATTAACGGTCTAATGTTACCAAAGTTATTTATTACATTCATTGATTCTTTTGTAGTAAATGTTAAAAATCAAGGCAACACTTTGTGCTCAACCTATATGCTTAAGTATAAAATCAAAACTAAATTTAGCAAAGGAGAATGTTATTATTAAAATACAATTAAAAATTTTAATTTTAAAGATCATGCTTTCATCTTTAATTCGCTTTATCTTATTTATAAGGTATTACCAAGTTATTCTGAATGCTTTATATAAGAGTCACATGTATATATATATATATATATAAATTTCAAGACATCAATTATTTTAAAATAGGACATAATATGCCTTGTGTTGTAAAAAATTACACACACATACATTGTATATATATATATATATAATATATGATGTGCGCGTGTAATTATCTAAATCAAAAAGTAAAATGTAAAAAGGTAACGTTTCTAAGAAAAT